AGACATTTTATAGTCCAAAAAAAAAAATATTTTATTGCACAAAGGGCATATGGGAATTTAGAGTAATTAATTAATGAATAAACTGTTAGAAAGTTAGCAAAAAATCCACTACTTGCCTTCAAGTTAATTTGTAGGACACAAAAATATACTATAATTTACCACCTAACCAAGAAAGAAGTAGAGATTGCAAACAAAGCCTAAAAGAAAACTAAACGTTGATTCTGAAATGAAAGTACTCCTCCACTATTTTGCATTGACGTGTTCTGGAATAAATACACATACTAAGACAATCCTTAATATATAGTTATAATACTAAATAACAATTAAAGCTTATTTCAGAATCGGCATTGAAAATTAAGAAAGTGCCTTTATATGACTTGAAACAAATATATTCATCAACCATCACCATCCAAATTGGATATCCTAGCTAGAAAAAAAATTAAACAATTTAGTTTTTACTCACTAGAAAACTAGAAAATCTCAAAAATATTTAGGGTGACATATAGATAGTGACTGTTGAAATAAAATTCAATCCTTCATTCCAAAGAATCAACCAAGATATGTATCAAAATTTTATGACATTCAGATCATTTATTATTTATTAACATACTATTAGAGCTAAAGAAATTCGTTTATAAATGAATAAGTAGGTACTCTTTGAACAAGATAATGAAATCGTTTTCGTTACATGTTAAGAAAAATGACTAACACAATGGGCCTGTAGGTTTAAGTAGATCTCTAGGGATCCGCGGTATAACCTAAAGAAAATGACGGGCCTTGTTATGCGCATCGAATTTCGAATTATTTTAACACACCACATATTATCGAGATTTGGTTTCCATAGATTACTATACTTTTCCCTTTAAAGTATGCTCTTGGGAAAGAGATTAAAATGAAGAAATGTTTGCCAAGAACATCAGATCTCCATATCCATACCAACCGGTCTACAAGAAAAGTGCAAAAATGCAAAGAGAAGAGTTTGAATAATTGTTTTAGAGTTGAAGGAAAATATATAAAAATATTGAAAACTCTATTATTCAAAATGTATATTTCTATAAGCGATTAAAAAATTTTCAGCCTAGCCGTTAGGTGTTCTTTTCATATCAAAGTAAGACATGTTCAACTCTTCTATAATTGTCTACTTACGCTTATATTTTCTTGTAATTTTTTTTTTGAATATATAATATATGTATTACAAGATTCAAACGGTTATACCCCTTAGGTTCTATGTAATTTTAATATATGAAACTATGTAATAGAAAGTGTGATTCTATGTTATCAACTTTGTAAATATCACAGTATATTTTAAAAGAAGTCATTGTGTATGAAGAAAGGTACTAATGACCTACACTTTTTCGCTCGAGGATTCTATGTAGTTCAATAACTAGTATAGTATGTTTTAAAAGTATTAATTAACTTTATTAGATATACAATTTATATGAAAGAAACTTTAGTATATATAGGTTGTAAATACAAAGGAAATCAACTAACAGAGATTTTTAGAGGACCAGATATATTTGAAAAATATTCTTATACCTTTTGTGACTTCATGTTATCCTGTTATATTGCAACATAAATAAAAGATAATAGGTTTCCAAATAAGTAAATATTTAGCACAATACTAGTGTTGGAGATGGAAATTCCAGCGTTAGAACTAACTAGTAGCAGCACAAATAAATACGAGATTTGCTTAATGTAGTACTAAACTTAAAATTGTATGTAAACACCATAATTACAATAGTATTTATAATTTTATCTCAAGGTGTAGTCAGCAGCAGTCAATTAGGTTTATTGGACTGTAAGGTAACATAGTCTAATAATTCTTTAAGCTGTTGCTAAACTGATTAAATGGTACAAGTCTCTCTCATTCATCTTAACTACTTTGAAGTGTTACTTAGCAACTCTTGTTTTGCTCAAAGTAGTTATTTACTAAAGCAATTAAAAGTAATTTTTTGATAAATATTTCCCATATACTCTACACAAATGGCATAGAAAAAAATGTACTCACAATTTAGTGTTTAACCAGAAAATTCTCACTTTATCAAAATACGTTCTGTTTATTTAATAATTTCGCATTAAAAAATCGCAGAAATGGTGTTGATTATTACTGTAAATTAATTTTCTACTACAATAAAAAAGTAATTTAAAAAGTAAACAAAAAAATACACGTATATATAACTATATACATATATATATTTGTTTTAACGATTCAAATAAAAAAGTTTCCATTTAATTTTTTTTTTCTCATTTAGAAACAAAACTGTTCGCCATTAGTCATAATAATAACAATAACAACAATAGCATTCACATTAAAATGGGCCGCTGGGGTAGACAAAGTCCTGTTTTGGAACCGGAACCTCCACCACCAATTCCGCCGCGTACATTTATGCGCCAATCCAGTTTCACGAAAATCGGAAATATGTTAAATACAGCAATTAATATAAATGGAACCAAGAAACCGCAAAGTAAGTATATATTAGATTTAATTTCAATATATCAATAAAAATATAATGAAATCTATGAACAATTTATCATTGATGATGATTATACGAGTGATAACAATTATTATTTTTCCAATTATTTTTCGCATATTTTATGGTGTTGACATATCTCAGCAATTATCACCTTTGATGTCAACTTATCACGTGTCGATAAATAAAAAAAGTAAATAAATGAAAGGATTTTTGATAATTAACAATGAATATTATTGATTGATTGATTGATTTAGTAAAAACGGTCTATAGAGAGTGTTCAAGACACATCATAGACTATTTAGATTTATGATACGTGTGGTCATTGATCTTATTTATTTTTTAAACACATATACATTTATTTATTGTATCTTCCTTCTTTTACAATGAGATTAATAATAAGTTCTGAATTCTTAGCATTAATACATTGTATAATATAACATAAAATAAGTAAACCATATATTACGGACCTCACTTAAATCAATGGGCTAATTAATTGATTAATTAAAAGATATAGCATGATTATTTAAAATTCAAATAAATTGCTTTTATAATAAAAATTACAAATCAAATATAAAATTATATTATTATATATATTTTTATCGTATACTTTTTTTATGACTATATAGTTATTGTGTCTCAATTTCTTCTATATATTTGCATATAATTAAAAATTTATTTTAATACTCATAACCTGATGCTATGTTCAGACAGCCAAATTTCCTTAATTAAGTTGATTTCGAAAGTGTTCATACTGCCCCAAATTAAGGAAATCATATGTTTTTTGTTTACAAATCGAATGTTAAAAATTACATGCTCCAAACACCATTTGTATCTGTGAAATATTAAAAGTTGATTATTAAAAGTTGATTAGTGGATTTCAGGTATGTGAATTATTATTTTTCACTCTATTTTAAATTAATAACAGTTACAGTTTTTTCTCTATATACAAATTTAAAAATTTGCACTACTTTCAAAATATTTCCCGGTTTAATTAAAGTTAAAAGTTTATATAAAAAATGTCACTCTTTCATTATTACTTTATCTTTTGCTTAAAATTTATCTTACACATAGTTGCATTTGAAATGTTCCTTAATTTCAGCTTTTGTTTCAACAAAATTAGGGCCATTTTCCTTAATTTAGTTCTAATCTTAAAACTGAAATTTGTATGGAAAATCAAGTTAATTTCGCTGAAACGAAGATGAAATTAAGATTTTCGCAGAATTAAGGTGTGTAACGATTGCTTTAAAATCAAATTAAGAAGAATTAATGTACATCAGAGCAAGTAACAAAATGATTGCAAAATCAAAATGCCACCTTGCAAACGTTATTAACTTTTAATACAAAAATATTAAAACAACCCTGTGTAAATAATGTATTCGTTCAATGTAAAATAATACAGAGATGTTAAAATTTAAAGTACATATTTTATTTTAATTAGATTTTTTTTATTTTTATAAAATAAATTTTGTTTTTATTACAATTATTAATATTATTTTGCAATTAATATTACCATTTCGCACTAAATTTAGTTGAATACTATCTTTAATTAAGGTAATAAAGAAATTATTATGAATAATATAATTATTTTTTAGTTTTCTATTATAACTACAATAATTTGTTCTGAAAAAATGTGGAATTACAGTCTATTCAACTGTAACGTGTAATAAATAATTTTTGTTATGATATGCAATACAATTAAGATCATTTTGTTTATGTATAGAATGAACCATTTTGTATATAAAGTAGATATAGCATGGCTTCTATATATATAATTTTCATATAATTATATATCCATATATTCTAATACGCAAACTAAATTGTACCATTTTACTTCGTTTATAAGGAATACATAAATTAGTCAATGAGATGGGTGGGACCCTGTAGTACCCCCAGCTATCAAAGAATAAAAGTGCCCAGTTGCGCTGACTCGAAAAAAGGATCAACATATATACATACGTACTTGTTTTATTGTCAATAAATATGAATAAAACTTATATTGTTGAGGGAGGGATGTAGCCTAAGTAAAAAGCGTGTTAAAATACTTGTAAACTAAATATATTTTAACATTTTCTTTCGTTTATCAAGCAATAATTATTTAATCCTTATTTTTATATTTATTGATATATTTTAAAGATATGTGTTCGAATCCAAAAAGTTAAAAAAAAAAGATGTAAATATTATCGGTAGTTCGTCATGGGTGATGTTAACATAGTTGTAAATTGCGTTACATAGGGGAATATTTTCGACTAAGCCATTGTTTTGTTAAGCATTTTGTATTTACTTTTATTTAATTGAAAAGAATTTAAAAAATTTTTTTATTCACATATTCAAACTCATAACATGCAAATTTAATGTTAAAAACTATAGTACCTATTGCTTTCTATTGCTGATAGATAATAGAAAAGTTTGTATCGTTAATAGATAAAATCGAATTTTGGTATAGTGAATTGCAAACCGATAGAAATTTTTCTATCAACAGTAGATAAATTTGTCTATTGCGTTTGAGCATTTTGCGTTTGCTTAACCGTTTAATATGTCTGCTTACAAGTGCAATATATTATAAATTGAGTATAAGGGTTGTTTTCAAAAGAGTCTAACCAACTAATCATCTAACCTGAGAAATGCGTTATAAACCTTATGAACGTTTAAATTAATCTACTTTATAAGTTAATTATCAAATCTTGTATAAAAATCGTGTTTGTGTCTATTGTCTACCAATAGACATCTCACAATAGCCACTTATATCTTAAAAACATAGTTTTTTTTATTATAATTAATGCCAATTATTTACAAATATTTATTATTTTTCAAGTTTTATATTATAAAAACTTTGTGTTTTACTTAATAAGTAGTTTGTATAATTGCGTTTTTCTTTGTACATCTTTCGCATTTTGTTGTTGGCAGTACCTTTTATTTTTTGCTAACAAAACAAACAGACTTTTCTTGGTATTATAACAGTTTTGAAAACTGTTATATTGTGTAAATGCCTAGCAAGATATGCGTTTCTCCATACAAACTGCTGTGCAATTTTTTTTATTTATTTTTCGTTTTAGTTTTGTCAATAAGTTATATATATTGTGAGATATTTCTATCTTATTGTTAGAAAGAAAAGAAAAAATAATTTTTATTTAGACATTGTAATTAAAAACTACTAAAAATATTTTCTAAATTGCATAAGTAAAAAAAAGCGGTAAATAGAATTACGAAGAATTTGTTAGCCGCAAATTGCAATAAAAACTACGAAGAACGTACTCGAATAGGGGGAGTAAGGAGAGATAGAAAAATTGTTAAAGGCAAAGAAAGAGCGTAACATAAAGAATCTAGATTTTTGGCTGCTGCTTTTGTGAATTTGTCATACGAGTGTGAATCGGCTGGCGTGAAGTGTGAATGTGGATTAAAGTTATTAAAAAATAATTTTGTATTCATATAAAAAGAAAATTATTTTAAATATGAAAAATATGTACATATTAAAAAGAAAGTAAATTTGTAATAAAATTATTGATTCTTATGTGTTAATGTTATATTGCAAAAGCGCAACTAACGCTGCCGCAAAAATATATAACACCGCACGCACGGAGCAAAAATCAACAAAACCTGGTCACGCGGTTATTTGAATAAAAATCCAGTTTTTATGAAAAGAAAAAAAATGAAAATAAGTTTTTCACTGTTTACATCATGAAATTTATTTAAAATTTTCTAATAAAAAATCACTATTTTTGAAAAATATCGCATAGAAGTTGTGCTAAAATTCTGTTTTTGAAGGTTAGGCACTCCGCTTGCCAGAATACTAAAAAAACGATCAACTACACACAAAGCAAAAAAATATAATAAAACTACAGGGACAGGAAACGCAGTGCAAAATAAAAAGTTAAAGCAAACATAGCACAAAAAATATAACTGCGAAGAATAACGAAGAGTTGCGAAGCAACTTACTTTTTTTCAAAAATAATTTATACTTCTCAGACGCAAATTTTGTAATCCTTTAGCAATTTCTATAAACTAAAAAAAAATAAAAAATTCTACTTGAAAATTCAGTGATTTGAATAATTTTTGTGTATGTTAAATCACCGGCTTTTGCCTGAAAATATTCATAAAAAAAAAATTCTCCTACATTAACGCTATTATCTTCGTTTTGTTTCCCCTCTTTTCGCTTTGTTTCGTGTTATTTTCCTTGGTTACTTTATTAAGATTAAAGCAAATTATTGGCTAAAGCAATACAACAATAACATACATCAACTGAACGATACGAAAAGTGAATTTGTTTTTGTGCTTCGTCTTTGAGATTTTTCTTCCTTTTTATTCTTATCTTGCCCCTTCCAGCTGCCGTTTTTTTGCTTTCAACACCAACAAACTGTTAAACTGTCATGGCCGGTAAGTTTTTTGTTTGTAATAAATATTATTATATTTAATGTAGCTCTTATGACAATTTTATTAGAAAAATAAACAGAAAAAAAAGTTAAATATTTTATTTTAAATTTATTACTTTGTAGAATGTAAAACGTAGTATCGTTTGGATATATTCTCAATCTAAATAATATAAGATTTGTGGAATTAAAATTATCAAATTTAATTGAAAACAAAAACTCAAAAACTAGTGTCAAACTAAAAAACTGAAGAAGAAAAACACTTTTTTTTGATTATTCTTTACGCAACGTTTAGTAAGTAAACAAAACAAAATTTCCTTAGATAATCACTGCAAACAAAAAAAAAAATATCTGATATAAACTCGTACATATTTTAGGTTCAATTTGTATTTCATTTTATTGCCTTTGATTCAGTACCAGTGGATTTCTGTGTTTAAAATGGTCATCATTCCTAAAGGTACATTCATATTTATAATTAGTTTTTTTTTAGTAATCTATTTATATAATATAATATATAAATCATTACAAGAATTTTATGTGTATTGCTGTTGTTGTTGTTGTGCCGTAGTAGTTTTTGTCCTGTATGAATTTTAACCCTCACTAAGAGTTTCGTTTCACTCCACAGGA